AAACAAAGAAAACAATGAACCAATAGTACTCCCAGTTATTTTTAATTTTAATAATAAAAGTAAAGATGTTAAACGAATAATAAGAAAACACTGGCATATACTCAAACATGATGAGATACTTAGCTCTATTATACCTGTTCATCCAAATATTGTTTTTAGAGGAGCACCCAATTTTAAATCTATTTTAACTACTAATTTTACTAAAAAATCTCCTCTCAAAAATCTGTCTTTTTTTCCCCAGACAAAAGGTTTTTATAGATGTAAACAATGTATTGTATGCAAAACCACTGATCATTTTATTTCATCAAAAGTCTCAAGTTTTATGTCCAATCAGACAAAAAAAGTGTACAATATTTATGATTTTATATGCTGCAATACGAAAAATGTTATTTATCTGCTTGAGTGCCCATGTGGCCTCCGATATGTGGGGATGACCACAAGGTGCTTAAAGATAAGGCTAAGCGAACATTGCAGAAATATTAAAAATGGATACTTAAAACATACAGTATCCAAACATTTTATTATGCACAATAAGGACCCACGCCTATTAAAATGCATTGGTATAAAAAAATGCTTTACCTCTTGGCGTGGAGGTGACATAAAAAAACTGCTTGGAAAAACCGAGATGGAATGGGTGTATAAACTTCAGACTCTTATACCCCATGGTCTTAATGCTGACTTTGATCTACACAATTTTTTATGACTTTTATGTTAAATAATATTTGCATTATTTATTGCTGTCTATAATATGAATGGCTTATATATTCCTTTTATGTATACAATCCCTTTTTATACATCTATTTTTATTGTATTAATGTTGCCAGTATTTTACAAATTAAGTTCTTATTCTGTATATCTTTATTTTAATTTGCAATGGTGAAACTTCCATACTTCATTTTTTATTTATTTATTTTTAAAGATAACTACATTTCCCAGGTTGCACTTGGGCAAAAACCTCCATTTTGAGGAAGTAATGTATTAGTTATGTGCCCCCCTGCCTACCTGTTTTATTTATAACTTAAAATCTATGCTCTACAATGAAAATGCCTCCAAGGCACTAAATCTCCTTAGGTTATGTATGATTATCGTTTTTTTTTATTTCTGTATGCGGCCGCCGGTCGCGGCTAACTTTTAACTACATTTCCCATAAGGCATTGCGGCGAAAACTTCCGAAATGCGGAAGTGCCGTATGTCACGTGATCGTTTTAAAATGTTCGAAATTATACTTTCCAACCCTCGTTTTTGATTTCTAACCATTAGAAACAAGTTATATTACTATAAATTGTATACTGACTAAGTTTTGAACATATTTTAAGTTTTAAATGTGATTCTGTTTCTGATTGGACGGACCAATTTTTGGCGCCAAATTCAAATGAGTTATGTTCCTATATAACACCTACAAGCCAGGTAACATCTGTTATTCCATTTGATAAAGTCTTAGACGAAACGCGTTATGGATATTTAATTATTGTGTTTGTAAATATATTAAAGTATTTTTGGTCATTTGTTTGTGCCAATAATCTTTTTTTATAGACACATAATACTCTTTTTACCCTGGCTTTTTAATTATTATTTTTATTGGTTTTAAAAAAAAACCTGAAAACCCCTGGAAGTTTCCTGCATTTAAAGAAATCCAAGGTGGGGATCAATCCACCCAAGCTGTCATCACGGAGCAGTTGGTCTGCTCTGGTTTTGTAAGTACATTCTTTTATTATTTTATCAATATTGCTATACAGTGAGCACTATTGGCTGTCTCTTTTATTTCGAGAAACTGGACACGTATCACAGAGAGGAACCCATCTATATCCCATAAGCGGGGATCAAACCGCCGTATGCGCTTTATTCCAGAGCTAGGACATTAGCTCTGATAAATGTGAGTTTTATATTATTATTTCTACACATCCATATTAGAACTCTACATACTACACTATTGGTTGTCCCCCTCTCTCTTTTTATCTTTCATATAAGTGGACTCAATACAAAGTAGAAGACGTCAACAGCAAAGACTATCTGTAAGGACAATAATATTGGACTTTTCCTTCTTTCCAATTGGACTTTATTAATATTTTATTTAAAAATAACTTTTTTTTTTTTTTTTTAATTCCAATTTTATTTGAGTGCGCAGCCTTTTTTCTTCTTTTTCTTATTTTATCTAAATTAAAGGGTTTGAGGGATCCCCTTTAAAAGGTTGCTGCCTATAAGTTATCTAGCGCTGTCTTTCTCTTTTTCTTTGTTGACACACAGATATACATACTGATACATACATAGATACTTACACACACATACAGACTGACACATAGAGATGCATACTGACACACACACACATACATACATACTGACACCCAGGCACACATATTGACACACAGACACACATGCATATTGACACACAGATAAAAATACTGACACACAGACACACAAACTGACACACATACTGGCACACAGATATACATACTGACACACACATATACACATACTTTTCTAGCCACCCTCTTGTTTCTTACTTTTGGGTGCAAGAAGGTGGCTGAGGCTGATGGGGATTGGTGTAGCAGCGGACTCTCCCCTCCTAACTGCCTACGGTCTGCCTTTTTCCCGCACGGCATAAGCTGGGAGGAAGTTGCCATTTTAAAAGAAGCCCGGTCCTGCTATTAAAGGGCCATAGTGCTCACAAGGCCCCTGAAGATACATGCCTACTGGTTGGCCCTAAGTGCATGGGCCACCCAATGGGCTCAATCAGCATGTGGGCCCCAGTGTAGTTGCACTGGTGGCATGTTCTCCTCTACAGATAGGGAATGTGGGGCCCGGACGGCCAGGCCCCCCAGGACCTCTGGGTCTGTGACATCCATCATGTTTGTCACCTGATGATGGCAGCCTTGTCATCCATCACTGGCTGCCATATTCCCAGCCACATGTCAATCATCACCCATCACTGACATATTCATAACCACATGTCAATCATCATCCATCACTGACATATTCCCAGCCACATGTCAATCATCACCCATCAATGACATATTCATAACCACATGTCAATCATCATCCATCACTGACATATTCCCAGCCACATGTCAATCATCACCCATCATTTACATATTCATAACCACATGTCAATCATCATCCATCACTGACATATTCCCAGCCACATGTCAATCATCACCCATCACTGACATATTCACAGCCACATGTCAATCATCAGCCATCACTGACATATTCCCAGCCACATGTCAATCAACATCCATCACTGACATAGAAACAGCCACATGTCAATCATCACCCATCACTGACATATTCACAGCCACATGTCAATCATAGCTTGTTACTGGCTGAAATGATCAAATGTAACCAAATTATAAATGTGTAAAAAGCTTTAAAACCTAATTTGAGAGGAAAACATTTAAAACATTGCCTGAATAACATCAAGTTTTTATCTTCTTTCTTTCTGCTTCACCAGGTCAGCCCCAGGATCCAAAATTTTATTTCAGCAGAACTGTCTCTAATGTAATTTGTTCGGTTGTTTTTGGAAAGCGATTTGAATATGAAAACGAGAATTTCCTCAGACTATTAAATCTAATATGTGTCCTATTTAGAAATGCAAATTCTTTTTGGGGACAGGTAAGGACTAATCATGTTTGGTGTTGACAAATAAACCTAAGGGGGATTAATCATTAACTTTACTCCTACATGTGACTGTCCCTTTAACCCATTAAACATGTCACTGTCATTAGGTCACTTTGCTCCTACATGGGACTGTCCCTTTAACCCATTAAACATGTCGCTGTCATTAGGTCACTTTGCTCCTACATGGGACTGTCTCTTTAACCCATTAAACATGTCACTGTCATTAGGTCACTTTGCTCCTACATGGGACTGTCCCTTTAACCCATTAAACATGTCACTGTCATTAGGTCACTTTGCTCCTACATGGGACTGTCCCTTTAACCCATTAAACATGTCACTGTCATTAGGTCACTTTGCTCCTACATGGGACTGTCCCTTTAACCCATTAAACATGTCACTGTCATTAGGTCACTTTGCTCCTACATGGGACTGTCCCTTTAACCCATTAAACATGTCGCTGTCATTAGGTCACTTTGCTCCTAAATGGGACTGTCCCTTTAACCCATTAAACATGTCGCTGTCATTAGGTCACTTTGCTCCTACATGGGACTGTCTCTTTAACCCATTAAACATGTCACTGTCATTAGGTCACTTTGCTCTACATGGGACTGTCCCTTTAACCCATTAAACATGTCACTGTCATTAGGTCACTATGTTCCTACATGGGACTGTCCCTTTAACCCATTAAACATGTCACTGTCATTAGGTCACTTTGCTCCTACATGGGACTGTCCCTTTAACCCATTAAACATGTCACTGTCATTAGGTCACTTTGCTCCTACATGGGACTGTCCCTTTAATCCATTAAACATGTCACTGTCATTAGGTCACTATGTTCCTACATGGGACTGTCCCTTTAACCCATTAAACGTGTCACTGTCATTAGGTCACTTTGCTCCTACATGGGACTGTCCCTTTAACCCATTAAACATGTCACTGTCATTAGGTCACTTTGCTCCTACATGGGACTGTCCCTTTAAACAATTAAACATGTCGCTGTCATTAGGTCACTTTGCTCCTACATGGGACTGTCTCTTTAGCCCATTAAACATGTCACTGTCATTAGGTCACTATGTTCCTACATGGGACTGTCCCTTTAACCCATTAAACATGTCGCTGTCATTAGGTCACTTTGCTCCTACATGGGACTGTCCCTTTAACCCATTAAACATGTCGCTGTCATTAGGTCACTTTGCTCCTACATGGGACTGTCTCTTTAACCCATTAAACATGTCGCTGTCATTAGGTCACTATGCTCCTACATGAGACTGTCCCTTTAACGCATTAAACATGTCACTGTCATTAGGTCACTTTGCTCCTACATGGGACTGTCTCTTTAATCCATTAAGCATGTCCTTGTCATTAAGTCACTTTTCTCCTAAATGGGACTGTCCCTTTAACCCATTAAACATGTCACCGTCATTAGGTCACTGTGCTCCTACATGGGACTGTCCCTTTAACCCATTAAACATGTCACTGTCATTAGGTCACTTTGCTCCTACATGGGACTGTCCCTTTAACCCATTAAACATATCACTGTCATTAGGTCACTGTGCTCCTACATGGGACTGTCCCTTTAACCCATTAAACATGTCACTGTCAGGTCACTTTGTTCCTACATGGGACTGTCCCTTTAACCCATTAAACATGTCACTGTTATTAGGTCACTGTGCTCCTACATGGGACTGTCCCTTTAACCCATTAAACATGTCGCTGTCATTAGGTCAATTTGTTCCTACATGGGACTGTCTTTTTAACCCATTAAACATGTCACTGTCATTGGGTCACTTTGTTCCTACATGGGACTGTCCCTTTAACCCATTAAACACGTCGCTGTCATTGGGTCACTTTGCTCCTACATGGGACTGCCCCTTTAACCCATTAAACATGTCACTGTCATTAGGTCACTTTGCTCGTACATGGGACTGTTCCTTTAACCCATTAAACATGTCACTGTTATTAGGTCACTTTGTTCCTACATGGGACTGTCCCTTTAACACATTAAAATTGTCACTGTAAATAGGTCACTTTGCTCTTACATAGGACTGTCCGTTTAACCCATTAAACATGTCACTGTCATTAGATCACTGTGCTCCTACATGGGACTGTCCCTTTAACCCATTAAACATGTCACTGTTATTAGGTCACTGTGCTCCTACATGGGACTGTCCGTTTAACCCATTAAACATGTCACTGTCATTAGGTCAATTTGTTCCTACATGGGACTGTCTTTTTAACCCATTAAACACGTCGCTGTCATTGGGTCACTTTGCTCCTACATGGGACTGCCCCTTTAACCCATTAAACATGTCACTGTCATTAGGTCACTTTGTTCCTACATGGGACTGTCCCTTTAACCCATTAAACATGTCACTGTCATTAGGCCACTGTGTTCCTACATGGGACTGTCCCTTTAACCCATTAAACATGTCGCTGTCATTAGGTCACTTTGCTCCTACATGGGACTGTCCGTTTAACCCATTAAACATGTCACTGTCATTAGGTCACTGTGCTCCTACATGGGACTGTCCCTTTAACCCATTAAACATGTCACTGTTATTAGGTCACTGTGCTCCTACATGGGACTGTCCATTTAACCCATTAAACATGTCACTGTCATTAGGTCACTGTGCTCCTACATGGGACTGTCCCTTTAACCCATTAAACACGTCGCTGTCATTGGGTCACTTTGCTCCTACATGGGACTGCCCCTTTAACCCATTAAACATGTCACTGTCATTAGGTCACTTTGTTCCTACATGGGACTGTCTCTTTAACCCATTAAACATGTCACTGTCATTAGGTCACTTTGCTCCTACATGAGACTGTCCCTTTAACCCATTAAACATGTCACTGTCATTAGGTCACTTTGCTCCTACATGGGACTGTCCCTTTAACCCATTAAACATGTCCCTGTCATTAGGTCGCTTTGCTCCTACATGGGACTGCCCCTTTAACCCATTAAACATGTTGCTGTCATTGGGTCACTTTGCTCCTACATGGGACTGTCTCTTTAACCCATTAAACATGTCACTGTCATTAGGTCACTTTGCTCCTACATGAGACTGTCCGTTTAACCCATTAAACATGTCACTGTCATTAGGTCACTTTGCTCCTACATGGGACTGTCCCTTTAACCCATTAAACGTGTCGCTGTCATTAGGTCACTTTGTTCCTACATGGGACTGTCCCTTTAACCCATTAATCATGTCACTGTCATTAGGTCACTATGTTCCTACATGGGACTGTCACTTTAACCCATTAAACATGTCGCTGTCATTAGGTCACTTTGCTCCTACATAGGACTGTCCGTTTAACCCATTAAACATGTCACTGTCATTAGGTCACTGTGCTCCTACATGGGACTGTCCCTTTAACCCATTAAACATGTCACTGTTATTAGGTCACTGTGCTCCTACATGGGACTGTCCATTTAACCCATTAAACATGTCACTGTCATTAGGTCAATTTGTTCCTACATGGGACTGTCTTTTTAACCCATTAAACACGTCGCTGTCATTGGGTCACTTTACTCCTACATGGGACTGCCCCTTTAACCCATTAAACATGTCACTGTCATTAGGTCACTTTGTTCCTACATGGGACTGTCCCTTTAACCCATTAAACATGTCGCTGTCATTAGGTCACTGTGTTCCTACATGGGACTGTCCCTTTAACCCATTAAACATGTCATTGTCATTAGGTCACTTTGCTCCTACATAGGACTGTCCCTTTAACCCATTAAACATGTCGCTGTCATTAGGTCACTGTGTTCCTACATGGGACTGTCCGTTTAACCCATTAAACATGTCCCTGTCATTAGGTCACTTTGCTCCTACATGGGACTGTCCCTTTAACCCATTAAACATATCACTGTCATTAGGTCACTGTGCTCCTACATGGGACTGTCCCTTTAACCCATTAAACATATCACTGTCATTAGGTCACTGTGCTCCTACATGGGACTGTCCCTTTAACCCATTAAACATGTCACTGCCATTATGTCACTTTGTTCCTACATGGGACTGCCCCGTTAACTAAACATGCCTTTTAAATAAATCTAATTATTTTACCAGGAAATATACATTCTAGCTTTTAGTTTCCGAGGTCTCAGTGTAATTATTACCTTGCTTAATAGTACTCAGTTTATTGACCTTTGATAGATAAAATGCTGAGTTAGCCGTGATAAAAATATAACCTTCCTAAATATAGGTAGTATATAAAGAATACAAATCTGAAAACTGTGGAATGAAATCTTTATGCCCTGATCAGCCACAACATTAAAACTACCTGCCTAAAATCATGTAGTCCCACCTCGTGCTGCCTAAACAGTTATGATGCATCAAGGCATGGACTCCACAAGACCTCTGAACGTGTCCTGTGGTACCTGGCATTAAAGGACCACTCTAGGCACCCAGACCACTTCAGCTTAACCCCTTAAGGACACAGCTTCAGAAGCTTGACTTACGCTTAATGACACAAGCAATTTTTGCATTTTCTTGCTGTTTGCGTTCAACTGCAATTTGCATCTCTCTCATTTATTGCACCGACACATATTATATACTGTTTTTAAAGGACAGAAAGGGCTTTAATTTGATATAACATATATATATATATATATATATATATAAATGCTTACTTATTATAAAAAAAATACAGAAAAATGCAAAAAAATGAAAAATATTGTTTTTTTTTACAGTTTTTGCAATAATAATGTGTGCATAATTAGTGCAGGTTAAGGAAAGTAATTAAAAATAAATTTATTTATTTGTTCTGATTTACAGAATATATAATGTGTCTGGGATTTTAAGTTTTTTTTGGTAGTTACAGGTCATAAAGCACAAGGAGTAAAATAAACTTTTTAATGTGGAGCAATTCTAGAATTTGGTATGTTTGTCTTGTAAGCTTAATAGCCATAAAAGAAAACAAAATTGCCACACAAAAGTATATATTTATATAAAGTAGACATCACGGGCTATTTACCTAAGGTTGTTTTGACACTTTCTACGTAGCCATTTCACCGCCAAATATTGCTAAATATTGGATTAAAATTGTGTTCTTTTTGGTTTTTGGCACACAAACTTATAACAGAGAAATTCTCGTGTATATTTTGTAAAGTTGGTGTGTGCTAGTCCTGTACAAAGTTTTATTTTGTGTTCAGTTACATCTGCTGAGTAAAATGACACCCCCATTGTATGTCTTTTGCACTATTTCGTGAAGTTACAGTGCCATACAGGATTCCTGTCCTTTTCAGTATTCACAGTAGAATTTTGAGAGATGGATTTAATGAGCCTTAGCTTCCATTTGGGGTATTATAACAGTTTGACTGTTCAAAAAAAACCCACAAAAGGCCTACCATTTGTAAAAGTAGACACTCCAGGGTATCTTATAAGGTGCATATTGTGCCTTAACATGCCCCCATTTTTTCACCAATATATGCCAAAGTATGTGGTAAAAAATAATTTTGTGCATTTTTTACATACGGATTGCATTTTTGCTGGGCGTTTTGTATATTTCATATGTGCCACTAAGTTCAAACCCCCAAATTATGCTCAGCTAAG